CAGAGGGATTGGCGGGAGCACCAGGGATTTCACACAAAAGAAGCAATACAAGGAGAACAGGAGACGTCTTCATACCAGGACACGGTACAGCAGGCATATACTGTATCAGGAATATGAATTTTTGGGTTTACAAATGCCTTGATGTGAACAAATCAGCAGTCCAGATGACTTACACCCATGAGTCCTTAGGGAACTTAGCTCAGTTATAGCCAAGCCGCTATCTCTAATTTTTTACGACACCTCATTGACTGGAATGGTGCCAATTGATTGGCATGGAGCAAATGTGATAACAATGTACAAAAAAGGGTGGAGATGTATATCCAAAAACTACAGACCAGTCAGCCTAACATCAATAGTATGTAAGGTATTTGAGGGAATCGTAAGGGACTCTTTACAGAAATTTGTCTGTGATAAAGATATCATAAGTGGCGATCAGCATGGATTTATGAAAGGCTGTTCTTGTCAGACCTACCTGTTATCGTTCTGTATGGAAGTGAGTAATTGGATGGTGAAAGTCCATTGGATGTAGTTTATCTAGATTTTGCTAATGTACTTGATACTGTACCTCATAAATGTAACCTATAAAATACGGTCTGTTGGCGTTAATGAAGATGTATGTACATGGATAGGAAGCTGGTTACATGAATGGGTCCAGAGAGTAGTTAAAATGACCCATTCTCTGAATGGTGGGCCCCAGGGGTCAACACTGTTCAATTATTTATTAATGATATAGAGGTTGGCATCAAGAGCTCAGTTTTAGTGTTTGCTGATGATACCAAATTATGCCAGGAAATACCGTCATCATAGGATGTAGAATCACTACAGGAAGACCTTGACCACTTAAACTCTGGAATGTTTTACCCCCTTCACGACCAGGAATTTTTTTGCTATTCAGCACTTTGCTGCTTTAACTGGTAATTGCACGGTCATGCAACTTTGTACCCAAGAGAAATTTATATCATTTTTTTCACACAAATAGAGCTTTCTTTTGGTGGTATTGGATCAGCACTGGGTTTTTTATTATATAAATGAAAAAAGATAGAAAATGAAAAATAAAACCCTGATATGTTCTTCTGTCTGTTATAAAACATATCCAATAAAATCTCATTTCTTCATACGTTTAGGCCAAAATGTATTCTGCTACATGTCCTTGGTATAAACTAAACTGGGGTTTTTTAGGGACATTAGTATAGTTCTGATTGTGAAACTGATCCATACAGACACTATACTAGTAATGGTAGTGATCAGCGAACTATAGTGTGTGATTTTGATAGTGTGGTGGGCAATCTGGTGCTAGCAGGCACTGGCTGGGAGGGTCATTAACTAACTGACACTGATGTCACTAGTGACACTAATACAGCGATCAGTGATACAACTGCATACTATAAAATGGCACTGGCTGGGAATGGGTTAACATCATGGGGTTAACTGTGTGCCTGTCACAAGTCAGCCTGCAGTTTCTTGCCTGTGTATTCTTACCTCCTTGCTGCAGTGCTTTCTCTACCCTCATTCCTTTCACATGGGTGGTTTGGCTGTGCTCACCTAGGGGAGTTGCCTGCTATCCTGTGGGTGTTCCCTTCCCTTCCATCACTGTGTGGCCCATCTCCTAGTTTACAATATAAGGGGGGCGGTACAATTACAATACTTTTCAGTACAGAAGGAATAGGAGAGCCCGGCTCATGGAGCTTACAATCTAAAGGAAGGGGGAGGTGATAATAAAGGTGATAGCTGTGGGGGATGATCTGGCAGAGGTGATTTAAGTACAGTTCTTAGGTGGAGGTGGGGTAGGCTTCCCTGAAGATGTGAGTTTTCAAAGATCGCCTAAAGGCAGACAGGGTGGGGGCTGACCGGACATGCTGTGGTAGGGAGTTCCAGAGGATGGGAGAGGCTCTGGAGAAGTCCTGGAGGTGAGCGTGGGAGGAGGTGATGAGGGAGCTAGAGAGGAGGATATCATGAGAGGAGCGGAGTGGGCGATTTGGGCGGTATCTGTGGATGAGGTTGGTGATGTAGCCGGGGCAGTGTTGTGGATGGCTTTGTAAGCTGTGGTTAGTATTTTGAATTTTTACGTTGTGTTAGTGGAAGCCAGAGGAGGGATTGGCAGAGAGGGCAGCAGTCGCTGATCGGTTAGTAAGGTGTATGAGCAGCATTCATAATACACTGAAGGGGGGATAGCCTGTGTAATGGTAGACCAGTGAGGAGGGAGTTGCAGTATTCGAGGCGGGATATAACAAGGTGTGGATAAGTTGTTTTGTGGTGTCATTGGTCAGGAAAGGGCGGATTTTGGAAATGTTCTGAAAGTTGAGGCGGCAGGATTTAGCCAGTGAGTGGATGTGGGGCCCAAAGGAGAGGTCAGAGTCTAGGATTACACCTTGCACCCGGCATGAGGGGAAGGACCAATTGTTCTGCTGTTGATCTTAATGGTAAGGTCATGAGTGGGGGATCGGGGGGGAGGAAATATTACAAGCTCAGTTTTTGAAAGATTGAGTTTAAGATAGTGATGTGACATCCATGCTGATATGTCGCTCAGTAGATTTGTGATACGTGAGGAGATTGAGGGGGTGAGCTGGGGAGTGATAGATTTGGGTGTCATCAACATAAAGGTGGTATTGGAAGCCATGGGAGGTTATCAGTTGGCCCAGGGAGGAGGTATAGAGAGAGAAAAGGAGGGGCCCAAGAACAAAACCTTGGTAACCCCAACAGAAAGGGGAAGCGGAGCGGAGGAGTTGTATGTGACACTGAAAGTGCGCTGAGAAAGGTAAGAGGAGAACCAGGAGAGAGCAGAGTCACGGAGGCCAATGGAGTGGAGTTTACTGAGGAGGAGAAGGTGGTCAACTGTGTCAAAGGCAGCGGAAAGGTCAAGGAGTATGAGTATGGAGTAATGGTCATTGGTTTTAGCAGTTAGTAGGTCATTAGTGAGTTTTAGTCAGGCAGTTTCTGTGGAATGTTGTGGGCGGAAGCCAGACTGTCGGGGATCAAGAAGGTTGTTGTCCGTGAGGTAGAAGTTCATACGGTTGTGAACAAGGCGCTTGAGAAGCTTGGAGGCAAACGGGAGCAGGGAGATGGGTCTTAAGTTGTTCAAACAGGTGGGGTCCAGTGAAGGTTTTTTGAGGATGGGGGTAACCAGTGCATGTTTGAGTGGGGAGGGACAGGTGCCCATGGAGAGTGAGAGGTTGAAGATGTGGGTTAGAATGTTTATGATAGAGCAGGAAGGAGGCTGCAACAGTCATGAGGGGACAGGTAGTGAAGTGGGCCTTGGAAAGGAGTTCGGTAACTTCCTCGGTGGTAACAGGGTCGAAGGAGGAGAGTGTAGAGTTTGGTGTTGGGCCTCGTATGTTGGTTAGTGGAGGAAGCTTGACACTGGAGATCTCATCACGAATTGTGTCGATCTTCTTCTTGAAGTGACTGACAATCTCCTGTGCAGTAAGTAAGTTGGTGGGCGGAGGCAGTAGGAGGAGGAGTAAGGAATTAAGGGTAGAGAAGAGTTGATGAGGATTGGATGAGAGGGTCTTGATGAGACTGTTATAGTAGGTTTGCTTAGCAGCGTGGAGGCTGGAGTTGTATTTGAGAAGAGTGGATTTGTAGAGGGTAAAGTCTTTCAGGGATTTAGTTTTATGTCATGCTCACTCAAGAGTGCGGCTGCATCTCTTGAGACTTCTGGTGTCATCTGTTTACCAGGATTGTGACAGGCGAGGCCGAGTTCTGCGTGTAGAAAGAGGAGCAAAAGCGGCCAGGGAGGAAGATAGATGGTTGTTGTAGGCAGATGTGGCCAGCTCTGGGCAGGACAGGGGTGCAATTTCATCATAGAGGCGCTCAGTAGCGGAGTGGAAAAGGTCAGGGCTGAGGTGATGGAGGTTTCTACAGGTAACGGTTTGCTGGTTGGAAGCATGGGAGGTAGGAGGCAGGGAGAGTGTGAAGCTGATAAAGTTGTGATCAGAGAGAGGAAAAGGGGTGTTAGAGAGGTTACAAGGAGTGCATAGGTGGGTGAATACATGGTCAAGGGTGTTGCCATTGGAGTGGGTGGTGGATTGTGACCATTGTGTTAGGTTAAAAGAGGAAGTTAGGCTGAGTAGTTGAGAGGTGGCAGGGGTGTGAACATTGACTGGGATTTTAAAGTCACCGAGGATGATGGCAGGCACCTCAGAGGAGAGAAAGTATGGTAGCCATGCTGAAAAGTCATCGAGAAAGCGTGAAAACTGGGCCCGAAGGCCGGTAGATGACAGTGATCCTCAGACAAACAGGAGAAAAGAGACGAATACAGTGCACTTCAAAAGAGTGGAGGGAAGAGACGGAGGGGCAGGAAGAACCTGGAACCTGCTTTGTGGGGAAAGAAGAAGTCCGACTCTGCCCCCTTTTCATCCGCTGGGTCTGGGCGAGTGAGTCCAGAGGAGGCCGCCATGGGAGAGTGCAGCTGAGGAGACAGAGTCGGAATCCAGGAGCCAGGTTTCAGTAATAGCAAGGTTGAGGGAGTGGGAGAGGAAGAGGTCATTGATAGTAGAGAGTGTTAGAGGCTGAGCGGGTGGGTTGCGAGAGTGTGAGGGTTGCGGCTGCGGCCAGAGAGGGGTCAGCAATTGGTTAATAAAATAGGGGGTTGGGCAGCTATATTAAAAATAGGTTCAGTATTGAGAAATGTAAATATAGCAACCTCCAAGTTAGCTACAGGGAGCTGGATGATTGTTTTCCTAAAAGGCTAAGTAGCAGCCAGGAAGAAATCGTCAAAGAGTCAAATTTGGGTCAGGGCTGAGAGGCTCTGCAGATCTGCTCGCTGATATATCCCCAATCTAGAGACTTGGAGAAGTCTCCAGATCTCAGTGGGCTGGTTATGAGGAGGAGCTGGCCTGCACTCGTAAGGGATCCTGGCCAATCCCCAAGCAGGAGGCTTGGCATGGGATCAGGACAGCCCTTTTAAAACCTCATACTTCTCTTTTAATAAAGGGGATTGAGGAGCTCAGCCATGAGAATCGACAGCACAGATTACATTTATTCACTGTGGAAAAGAGGCTCTTAGGAGTTGATATGATTACAATGTACAAATATATCAAAGGTGACTCCAGTAACTGTAATAATCTGTTTACAAAAGTATTGGCCCCGCCCTCCAAATCATGTGATTCAGGTGTTCCAATCCCCTCCATATCATGTGATTCAGGTGTTCCAATCCCCTCCATGGACACAGGTGTATACAATCAAGCCCATAGGCATGCAGACGGCTTCTACAAACATTGGTGAAAGAATGGGTCGCTCTCAGGAGCTCAGTGACTCCAAGCGTGATCCCGTGATAGGTGGCCAATTGTGCAATAAGTCCATCCGTGATATTTCCTGGCTACTAAATATTCCACGCTCAACTGTTAGTGGAATTATAACAAAGTGGAAGCTACTGGGAACAACAGCCACTCAGCTACAAAGTGGTAGGCCACGTCACATGACAGGGCGGGGTCAGCACATGCTGAAGCGCACAGTGCGCAGAAGTCACCAACTGTCTGCAGAGGCAATAGCTAAAGACCTCCAAACTTGGTGTGGCCTTCAGATGAGCCCAACAACAGTGCGTAGAGAGCTTCATGGAATGGGTTTCCATGGCCGAGCAGCTGCATCCAAGCATTACAGCACCATGTACAATGCAAATTGTTGGATGCCGTGGTGTAAAGCACGCCGCCTCTGGACTTTAGAGCAGTGGAGACATGTTCTCTGGAGTGACCAATCACGCTTCTCTGTCTGGCAATCCGATGGATGTGTCTGGGTTTGGCGGTGGCCATGAGAATGGTACTTGCCTGACTGCATTGTGCCAAGTGTAAAGTTTGGTGGAGGGGGGATTATGGTGTGGGGTTGTTTTACAGGGGTTGGGCTTGTCCCCCTAGTTCCAGTGAAGGGAACTCTTAAGGCAACATTTTGGACAATTTCATGCTCCCAACTTTGTGGGAAGAGTTTGGGGATGGCCCCTTCCTGTTCCAACATGACTGCGCACCAGTGCACAAAGCAAGGTCCATAAAGACATGGAGGAGCCAGTTTGGGGTGGAGGAACTTGACTGGCCTGCACAGAGTCCTGACCTCAACCCCATAGAACACCTTTGGGATGAATTAGAGCGCAGACTGTGAGCCAGGCCTCCTCCCCCGACATCAGTGCCTGACCTGACAAATGTGCTTCTGGAAGAATGGTCCAACCTTCCCATAGACACCCTCCTAAACCTTGTGGACGGCCTTCCCAGAAGAGTTGAAGCTGTTATAGCTGCAAAGAGCGGGGCCAACTCAATATTGAACCCTACGGACTGAGACTGGGAGGCCATTAAAGGTCATGTGTGTGGAAAGGCCGGCGGCCCAATACTTTTGGCAATATAGTGTAGATTGTATCAGTCAAAAAAAAAATCTTGTACTTGTTTTTGATAATTTCTTTGTACAGTGTCCATGAGACCCTATATACAATGACTGTAATAACAGATTGTTTGTCATTTCCAGCAAGGCCTGTGGTGACCCTTATGGAGGACACTCAGCGTGATTTCCTAATCTGTAAAGCTGAGAGGTTTTATCCTCAATTTTTGGACATTTCCTGGAGCACCTCCCCGAGTGTTGCACAGATTGGAGAAGAACAGACTAGGAACCAAGATGGAACCTTTACCAAGACTTCTAAACTGACCCTCACAAAGGAGATGCAAGGACAGATGATGGCTTGTGAGGTGAATCACACCACACTGAGCACCAGGCTATACCGACATGGTGAGTACTGAGACATGGGTAGGGAAGACAGCAGGATCATTAGAATAGCACTTCCACAAGAACTCAATATGCCTGATTCATTAAAGGCAAATTAAAGGCACACTATCATTTCATTTTTTCACTGTTCTGTTCCCCAGGAGACAAAGTACTACCATACATGTAATAATTTGTTTAATACCAAAGTGTCAAACCATCACCAGCCGTAACGTCCGCAACCTGAACCCAGCCCCCCTCCACTCGGCTGCTGACCGTCTGTACGACAGTATCCTTCCACTGTCCTGCCTTGACCGCGTATGACTCACTGTCAGCTGCCCTAGACTCCCTGACACCCCCAACCACACGTAACATCAGAACTCGACCACTTCAACCCTGGCAGAATGACCATACTAAATGTTTCAAACGACACTGTCGCACGCTGGAGTGATTATGGCGCAAAACCAGGTCCCCTCGAGCGTTCTCCCTCTACAAATCCGCCTTCCTCACTTACACCTCCTCCCTGCACGCCGCCAAGCAGGCCTACTTCGTAACCCTCATCAACACCCTCTCCTCCAGTCCTCGCCGGCTCTTCTCCACTTTCAACTCCCTACTCTCCCCCTCCACCCCCACCCAGTACCTCACTTACCGCCCACGAGATTGCCAATCATTTCCAAAACAAGATTGACGCAATCCGTACGGATATTGTCAATTCACAATCTACCTCTCCACCTAGCCTCCCCTCCTCCATCACCCCCTCAACTCTTCCCTCCTCTAACCTCACAACCGCACTGCCCCCCACCACACCTAACGTCCCGCACACTATAACCTCCCCAGCACTCCACTCCTTCAGCCCTGCTACCACCAAGGAGGTCACTAAGGTCCTCTCAGAAGCCCGCCTCACCACTTGCTCCCTGGACTCTATCCCCTCTCAACTCCTCCGGTCACCCCCCTCCTCCATCATCCGCTCCCTCACCCACATCTTCAATCTCTCCCTCTCTACTGGCGCATTCCCCTCCCCCCTAAAGCACACGCACATCACCCCCATACTCAAAAAACCCTCCCTGGACCCCACTGACCTGAACAACCTTAGACCCATATCCCTGATGCCACTCACTTCCAAGCTCCTTGAGCGCTTAGCCTACAATCGCCTAAGTGCCCACCTTACTGACAACAACCTCCTTGATCCCCTGGAGTCCGGCTTCCGTCCCCTACACTCCACCGAAACCGCCCTCCTCAAAATCACTAACAACCTTCTAACCGCCAAAGCTAACGGCCACTACTCAGTCCTCCTGCTCCTTGACCTCTCTGCGGCCTTCGACACAGTTGACCACCCCCTCCTCCTTAATAAGCTACACTCCCTTGACATCAGGGACTCTGAGCTCTCCTGGTTCTCATCCTACCTATCCCAACACTCCTTCAGCGTTTCCTATAATGCTGCCACCTCCCCCTCACTCCCCCTCTCTGTTAGGGTCCCCCAAGTCTCTGTCCTCGGACCCCTTCTCTTCTCCATCTACACCCCCTCACTTGGCAAACTTATACACTCTCACGGCTTCAACTATCACCTCTACGCCGATGACACACAAATTTACCTCTCCATTCCTCACCCCCCTCAGTCTCCGCCCGCATCGCCCACCTCCTAAACAACATATCAGACTGGATGTCGCTCCATTTCCTCAAGTTAAACCTTTCTAAAACCGAGCTCCTAGTTTTCCCCCCAGCCCGCCCCCCCCATCCTCTCCATCAGGACCAACAACGCCACCATCAATCCCACCCCGCAAGCCAAAGTCCTAGGTGTCACCCTGGACTCAAATCTTTCCTTCCAACCTCATGTCCAATCACTAGCAAATTCATGCAGATTCCGCCTCCGCAACATCTCCAAGATATGTACTTTCCTAACCCCAGACACTACTAAACAACTCCTACACTCCCTTATTATCTCACATCTGGACTACTGCAACTCCCTTCTCACCGGCCTATCTCACCGCAGGCTATCCCCGCTTCAGTCTATCCTGAACTCTGCGGCTAGACTCATCCACCTCACCAACCGCTCCGCTTCTGCCTCCCCCTCTGCCTCTCCCTTCACTGGCTCCCAATTGCCCAACGCATCAAATTCAAATTACTAACTCTGACCTCTGACATACAAAGCCATTCATAATGCCGCCCCAAACTACCTCACCGACCTGATACCCAAATACCACCCAACCAGTAATCTTCGCTCCTCACAAGACTTCCTACATTCTAGCTTCCTGGTCTTCTCCTCCCATGCCAGACTGCAGGACTTCTCCAGGACTTCCCCCATCCTCTGGAACTCCCTACCCCAATCCATCAGACTGTCACCTACCCTCCTCACCTTCAGGCGCTCCCTGAAAACCCATCTCTTCAGGGAAGGCTACCTCACCCTCACCTAACAGCCATTCTCCTCCACTCATCCTACCACTCCATCCCCCACAGCCACTTCCTCCTGTACCTCTACCCTCTCCCTCCTAGATTGTAAGCTCCAAGGATCAGGGCCCTCAAACCCCTCGTGTATTGTATTGTTACTGTATTGTCTCATGTACTGTCCCCCCACTTTATTGTACAGCGCTGAGCAAACCTTCTGCCGCTATATAAACATTATATAATAATAATGTTGCTAGGTGCTTCTTAAACCTTGCGTTCTGTCCAACCTCTACGTATTTTTCTGTTATATAGTTACATAGTTAGTCTGGCTGAAAAAAGGCAGAAGTCCATGCAGTTCAACCAAAAAAAAAAAAAAAGTTATAATTATATACTCACAATTGATGCAGAGGAGGGCAAAAAAAACAGCAATTTGCTCTTGCAGGGGAACAAATTCCTTCCTGATCCCCCGAGAGGAAATTGGATATTCCCTGGATCAACTTTCCCTATAAATGTTATATCCAGTTATATTCTGTGTATCCAAGAAAGAATCCAGGACTTTCCTACAGCAATCCACTGAGCCGGCCACAACCGACTCTTGAGGGAGTCTATTCCACATTCTCACAGCTCTTACTGTGAAGAAACCTTTCCTTGTTTGGAGATTACATTTCTTTTCCTCCAGATGTAAAGAGCGCCCCCTTGTCCTCTGTGATGACCTCAGGGGGAATAACTACACCGAGTTCACTATATGAACTACTTATGTATTATACATGGAGATCATATCCCCCCTTATGTATTATACATGGAGATCATATCCCCCTTATGTATTATACATGGAGATCATATCCCCCTTATGTATTATATATGGAGATCATATCCCCCCCTTATGTATTATACATGGAGATCATATCCCCCCTTATGTATTATACATGGTGATCATATCCCCCTTATGTATTATACATGGGGATCATATCCCCCCTTATGTATTATACATGGAGATCATATCCCCCCTTATGTATTATACATGGAGATCATATCCCCCCTTATGTATTATACATGAAGATCATATCCCCCTTATGTATTATATATAGAGATCATATCCCCCCTTATGTATTATACATGGAGATCATATCCACCCTTATGTATTATACATGGAGATCATATCCCCCCCTTATGTATTATACATGGAGATCATATCCCCCCTTATGTATTATACATGGAGATCATATCCCCCTTATGTATTATACATGGAGATCATATCCCCTCTTATGTATTATACATGGAGATCATATCCCCCCTTATGTATTATACATGGAGATCATATCCCCCCTTATGTATTATACATGGAGATCATATCCACCCTTATGTATTATACATGGAGATCATATCCCCCCCTTATGTATTATACATGGAGATCATATCCCCCCCTTATGTATTATACATGGAGATCATATCCCCCTTATGTATTATACATGGAGATCATATCCCCTCTTATGTATTATACATGGAGATCATATC